GCCAATTGTGCTGACTATTTTTTGCTCTCTGAAAAAATACTATGAGCCATATGGGATGACTCTCTGACAGGGGGAGAGGAAGGGATATATGGGATACTATGGTGATGTAAGAAACAAAAATTATCAATAATAGCTCATTTTAAAAAAAAAGAAAGAAAAAATTTTAATGCGTGTTTCTTTCCTTCCTTCCTTCCTTCCAAGGTCATATAAATTAATGAAAATCAACATGCCTGACTCCTAGTCCAATGTTCTCTCCACTACCCCACGCTGTCCCTCTCAAGTGAAGATCAAAGCTGAGTGACCTGAGGCTACATGAGTAGAAGGATGGCATCCAGGACAAATGAGTTTAGAGTCCCCTGCACTCTACATGGAGTGGAACATACCTGGAGTATTGTGTTCAGTTCTGGTCTCCCCAGAAGGACACACAGTAACCTTATCTCACTCTCATCTCTAGCTTTAATGGCCCCAAAAGGGAAAGGCCATTTGGGGAGAGTTGGAAGAGATCCCAATGGCCATCTAGTCCAACTCATATTCCCAAAGGAATCCCCTCTACAACAGGTGACCAACGGTCACACCCACCTTCCTGCTTGAAGCTATCCACCTCCCAACACAGCCCATTCTACTGCTAGAATGGACCCCAATCATTAGGAAGCTTATCCTGACATTAATGTCTCTGCATTGCTTCTGGTTCTAGTTCTTCCCTCCGAGACCAAAAAGAATAGATCTATGCAAGTGATTCCCAAATGGAGCTCTCCAGTGCTCATATCTCTCCTAAGCTTATTTCATGGGGGCCATCTCCAATCGTCCTCATCTAGATATTGCCGCTGGAGCCAGATGGCTCCAGAGGAGAAAGTGAGGCTGGTGACCTTGCATAGCCCTCCCTCACTCAAATCCAATTCACTTGCAAGTTATGGCCTCATTTTCCTATTCGAGAACGAAGGACAAACAGCAAGCTTGTTTCATATCTACAACTTACTGCTTGTCATCTCCACTTGTAAGTGCCATAAGCATTTTAAACTCAACATACCCAAATCAGAGCTCATCTTTCCTTCTAAACCCTTTCTCCTGACTCCCCTATTTCTGTCCAGGGCACTACTGTTCTTCCAGTCATCCGGGTTCACAACCTAGGACCCAACCTTGACTCTTGACTCTCACTTGCCCTCTATATACAACCAGTTTCCAGCTACAACCATTCTAGTTTAGACCCTCATCACCTTTCACCTGGACCACTACCCGTATTCTCATAATTGGCCTCCCTGCATCCAGTCTCTCCCTTTCCAATTCATCCTCCAATTCACTGCCAAACTAATATTCCTAAAGCACAGATCTGACCCATAATGCCCTGCTAAGGTCACAATCACCATCCACCTTTGTGTTCTCCACCTGGTGGGAGAGTACCCTCTCCTTCATCTCCTCATCCCCCTAATTCCCAAATAAATGCCTTTCATCTTACAACTATTTCCACCTTCCCCTGCTCTCCCCTTAGCTGAAAAAAGCTTCAGTAGCTCCCCATGGTCCTTAGGAATCATATGCAACCTCTTGTTTGGACTTTAAAGCCCTTCACACTCTAGCTCCAGCTTATCTTTTCAGTTTGATTACATCTTACTCCCCCTAATACACTCTACACTTTAGACAAACTGGCCTGCTTGCTATTCCCTGTACACCTCCCATCTCCCACCTCCATATCTTTGCACAGGTTGTCCTCCATGCCTGTAACTCTCACCCTCCTTACCTCCACCTCTTGGAGACCCTAGATCCCTTCAAAGCTTAGCTCAAGTGCCATTTCCTTCAAGAGGACTTTCCTGATTCTCCAGTTATTAGTGCCCCTCCCCTAATCATTTCTGTATTTGCTTACATACATGCATACATACACATATATTAATGTGTGTATACATACACATACATGTGTATATATATATATATGTTTATATACATATTTACATACACATTGTATATTTACTCATCTGTGAACATATTGTATCCCCCTAGGAGATTGAGAGTTCTCTGAGATCAGGCACTGAGTCACTTTTCTATTTGTATTTCCAATGACTAATTTAATGCCTGGTATACAGCAGGAACTTAATAAATGCTTGTTGATTGATTGCTTCCTAATCCCTTTTCAAATGACTACCTTTCAAAGACTTGAAGATAGCTAATATGCCACCCCGGGATCTTTTCTCCAAGTTACCATCCTTAATGCTTTCAACTTCATATAACTTGATCTCAACATCTTTCACCATTGTGGTTGTCTTCCTTCCAGTATCAGCGTTCTTAAACTGTAACACTCAGAAATGAATACAGTACTTCAGATGTGGTCTTACCAAGGCAGAGCACAGGGGAACTATTACTTGTTCCTGGCCTTTTTAAATGCAGCCCAAGATTACATTTAGTGTTTTTGGATGCCACATCACATTGCTGATAAGCCAACAAGTCATCGATAAACATTTATTAAGCATCTACTATATGTCAAGCACCGTGCTAAGTGCTAGGAATACAAAGAAAGGCAAAAACAGCCCTTGCCTTCAAGGAGTACACAGTCTAATTAGGGAGACAATACGGAAACTGTTATGGACATTTCAAGATATATACAGGGAAACTGAAGGTAATTTCAGAGGAAAGGCACTAGGAGTGGGTGTTGGGGGTGAGGGTAGGAATGGGGAATGGGGATTGTGAAAGGACTTGAGTTGAGTCTTAAAGGAAGCTGGGAGGCAGAGACAAAGGAAAGCATTCCAGGCATGGGGACTGCCACTGAAAAAGAACTGAGTCGGGAGATGGAGTATAGCATTTGAAGAACAGTAAGACCAGTATAATGGGACCCATGGATACACTGAGGGGAGTAAAGCGTGAAAAGACTGGAAAGGTAGGAAGGGAAGGGTTTGTGAAGGGCTTTAAAAACCAAAGAGAGGATTTTATATTTGAGCCTAGAGTTTATAGGGAGTCACTGACTCATATTTGAGTTTTTCAGTCTACTAATTTTTTTTTCTTTTTCAGAATTATCCCTCCCTCATCTTGTATTGGAAAGTGATTTTTAGAACACAAATATCTTAATTCCTAAATCTAATGCTTTTATCTCAATCTTCATCCTTCTTGATCGCTATCTTGCTTTTTAACCAGTCTTTTTTTCCTGGACACTCTTTTCCCTCTAGAATTTTGTGACTACTTTCTTCTGAATTTCTTCTGGCTTGTCTGTCTGCTCCTTCTCAGTTTCCTTTGCTGGATCATCACTCAGCTCTGTGGTTGTTTCCTCAGATTCTGTCCTGGTTTCCTTTTATTATCTTTTCTCTCTACATACTTCCCTTATCAGCTTTGGTAGATTTAATTATAATCTCTAAGCAAATGATTCCCAGTCCATATCCCTAACTGCCTCTTAAACATTTCAAAAAGGTCCCATAGGCATCTCAAACTCAGAATGTCTAAAGGAGACTTCACTATATTTTCCATGAAACCTACTCCTCTTCCAAACTCCCCTATTTCTGTTGAGGGCACTGCCATCCTCCCAGTCACCCAGGTTTCCAACCTTAGTGCCAACTTCAACCCCTCTGTCTCCCTCATCCCACCTACCAAATCAATTGCCAGATCTTGTGTCCTCTACCTGCATAAGTTTTCTTAAATCCAACACCTTCTCTTCACTCACACAGCCACAACTCTAAATACCTCGTACCTGGATTATGGCAGTACCCCTCTGTTAGGTCTCTCTGTGTCACCTCTGTTCTGCATGGTAATCCATCACTTAGCCACCAAAGCGATTTGTCCAAAGTGCATATCTGACCATGTCACCCCCTCCCTCAATAAACTAAAGTGGATTATTATCATCTCCAAGATCAAATATTAAATTTGGCCTTTTTAAGTTGTTTGTGACCAGGCCCCTTCCTACCTTTCCTACCATTTTATACTCTACTCTCTCTCCTATCCAGATGTAATAGCCTCCTGGCTGCTCCTCTCACCCAAGGTTCCATCTGCCATCTTTTTTTTTTTTAATTTATTTATTTTGAATTATCAGCAATCACTTCTATAAGCTTTTGAGTTTTAAATTTTTCTCTCCCTCCCTCCCCAAGATGGCGCACAATCTGATATAGGCATTCCTATTAAACATATTTTCATATTTCCATCTGCCATCTTTGTCCCTCATGTCTGGGATGTTCTTCCTTCTCATCTCCACCTCCTGGCAACCTAATTTTCTTTAAGCCTGTGTCAAGAGTTGCCTTCTCCCTAAGGCCTTTTCTGCTCTCCCTGCCCTCATCCCCAGTGCCTTCCTCTCTAATGTTACCTAGTATTCCTTGTGTATATGTCCTTGGCTTCTCTTGCTCACTGAGGGTAAGAACTGTTTCAGGCTTGGGCTGGGTTTTTTGGGGTTTTTTTTGCCTTTGTATCCCCAGAGCTTAAAGGCACAGTCCTAGGCACACAGTTGGCAGTTAATAAATTCTTGTTGATTAAGCTTTTACATTTATCCTTATTGAATGTCATCTTATTAGATTTAGCTGGGGACAGCTAGGTGACACAGTGGATAGAACATCAGCCTTGGAGTCAGAAGGGCCTGAAGTCAAATTCAGCCTTAGATGCTGATTAGCTATGCGACTCTGGGCAAGTCACCTAACCCTGATTGCCTCTTAAAAAATATTCCAGTCATTAGAACATGTATGTTAACTATCCCTCCCCAATTTTTGTCATTTGTAAAGTGAGTAGACGTCACCTATGTTTTTTCGCAAGTTATTTACTGATAAAAATATTAAGAGTACAGGGCAAGTGCAGATCTCTGGGAACTCCGCTAGAGGCATCTGACAAGCTGACAATGATCATTAAAGTTACTATTTGAGTCCAGCCATCCCTGTCTTTGATCAGTCCTGCCTTTCATTTCTGGTCTAAGTCTCTTTCTGTTTCTCAGTCTCAGTTTCTATCTCTCACCCTTACTTGACGTCTAATTACAAAGAGATTTCCCCACCCCCATTGCCACCCCCTTTCCACTACCTCCCTTCTACACACGCCCCACAAGAACACACAGACCAAATTATGGGGGGCTTTATTTACAAGGATGGGGAATAGCTGGGGTCCCCTCAGCTTCCATGGGCTATGTACAATGGCCAGTGTAGGCAAAGGGGGTGGAGGTAAAGCTATTAAATTAGAAAAGGGCTGATTGAAAGGGAGGGAGGGGGGAGGCCAAGGAATAAATACCGGAATGGGAGGAGGGGGAGAAGAGGTTGTGTCGTAAGTCACTGGAAGTAGATGTCTTCTGGTGTTTGGGATCAGGCTGCAGAGAGAGAAGGCAAGGTGGGAGTGAGGGAGGCCCAGTCAGAAGGGAAGACTGCAAGCCTCAGGGAAGTTGCTGGCAGGGGAAAGGCGTGTGTAGGGGTAGAGGAAGTTGTGAGACTGGGGGAATTTATTTGAGAATACAGGGGCCAGCGGACGGGGTTGGGGTGGGAGTGGAAGGGCAGTCCCACAGAATGGAGAGCACACAGGTGGCTGATGGTGGTGACCGCAGAGGGGCATTGTGGGAAGAATTACCATAGAATCTCTATGCGGTCATTTCTTCTTCACAGAACCTTTGCTCTTCTCCTTTTCAGCTGACCGCTGTTTCTTCATCTTTTCCTCCTTCTTAGTCTTGCCCTGCAGGTTCTCATACATATCCTCCCGGGGTCTGCAGCAGCACAGGGGTGAGCAGACAGTCATGGGGGGAAGGCAGGGAGAGGAATAGGAAGAAGAGAGGGTGGAGGACTGGCTTGGGACTGCAGAGAGGGACAAGACCCAGCCTGGTGTCCTGGGAAGCGTGCTGCAGGTTCAGTCCCTGGAGGACCGGGGCCGACCCTGCTGCCTCTCCTACAAGCCTGGAAACCACTCTGGACTTTAGCCCCATCATTTCCACCTGTAATCGTCCGTTCAATGCGTGTTGTGGGGGAGGCAGGGAGAGAAGTACGGACCAGGAAGGGAGAGTTCCTCCCAGCCAGCCCTAACAGAACTCAGGCAGGGGACTAGAAAAATTTGGAAGCAATGACTCCAAAAGCCCTCAGGTCCCAGCTTGACACCTACTAGTCTTACTTACTTACTCAAGCTCTCAGAACCCGTTTCATAATCTGTAAAAATGAGGGGGTTGGCTTAAGTCATCTCTAGGGCCCCTTTCCAGTTAAAAAAAAAAATTAGGTGACTAAGTGATTGCAACAACGTAAAGGGAAAGAATTTTTTTTTAAGGAGTGGGGGTGGGGGGAATGAAACCGAATGCTGTGTAAAATGATATTGGCCAAGGTTGGTCCTGGACAAAAGTTGAAAAAATGTACTTTCTTCCCTTCTTTGCAGAGGAGGAGGGTGCGGGGTGGGGTGGGATATGGGATATGCCAGACACGACTGATATATTGGTTGTTTTTGCTCCACTGCTTCTCCCTCCTCCCCCACCTGCACCCCTCCCTATCGTCCCCCCTCAATTCTTTTTTAATCTTTCACATTTTTTTTTAAAATAAGGGATGATCCTTTGTATGGGGAAGGGCAATATTCAGAAATAAAGATATCAATAACAATAAATTTTTTTTTTAAATTATGTGATCTACGTCTACCCTTCTTCCCTTAGACAATGTTTAACCTCAGTCCGTGGAAAATAGGAAGTTGGGTTGGTGTATAGAGGCCCTGAAAGGTCATGGTTAGAGGGAAGGAGGGTCACTCACTTTGAGGAGGTCCGGGAGGCCTTGGCATGGGCATTCCTCATGGCTGGAGGGTACCCAATGTTCCCGTACTCTGACTCCACCTGGCCTTTTTGAGACTGGGGGAGGGGATAGGGAGAATGGGTGTCATGACCAGGCCAAGTTTAGCCCTTTCCTCCACTCCCAAACTAGCCAGCTCCTGCCTTGGCCCACTGTCCCGCCACCCAGTTCCTACCTGCAAGACATCTAGTTTCCTCTTGGTGGTCTCAATGAATTGTGCAATAGCCATGTAGATGAACTTATACTGGGCCTCTGTCTGTACCATCCCTGAACGCTGGGCCCGAACCATCTGGATGGTTTTCTGGATGTCAATGTCACAGTCCAGACCTGGGATGTGGAAAGATCATTGATCAGGGCCCTGGACAGCCTCCCTTCCTGTTAGTATAACCCAGGCCCACAGGATTTTGTCTTCTCATCACAGAAAGGCACTATCCGTACATTGGGGCACTTTAGATTCAACTAGGGCTGAGGGGGGTGTTGAAAAGGAAAACCATGTTATCCCTTGTCCTGCCTCCTTCTTCCCACCCCTTACCTTTCGTGGAAATGGCCTCCATGATCATGTCGATAACAATGATGGTCCCAGTTCGTCCAATGCCAGCACTAGGGAGAAGGGGGAAAGTGGGGGAAGTCAGTGACTTTAGGGGAGGGCAGTGGTGGTCCCGGCTGCCCAGTGATGCTGAATAGGAAAAGAAGGGAGGTTTGAGGAACAGAGAGATGGCAGCCACTGTGAAGGGTTGAAAAGGTAGGAGCTAGGTTTGTGGCTGTGCTTCTAACAAAACCTCCTCCCTACTTCCCCAAGTCCTCTGAAGGTGGTCCTCTCCCCTGTTTTCATCTGATCTCAGTCTCTCAGCCCCTTTACGATTGTCTCTCACTGTCCAGGTACAATCTAAGGCGGAGGATCAGCATTGATCGTCTAATTCTTAGATTTCTTTCTTCTTACTTCCTACTGATTTCAGTGAAGCCTGATTTTAGTGAGACCTGCAGCCTGATTTCATTTTAAAAAAGAAAAATATTGGGATTTGAAGAAACCTTAGAAGTCACCAAGTCATCTTCAATTTACACCAGACTTGTGATTTCATTTTATTACTACGGGGGACTTCCTACTGAGGAAACTCCCACTACCAATGCAGGTGAATACCTGCTCTATAACTTAAAGTGTTTTTCTGAGGGGGTGGGGAAGCGATTGGGGTTAAGTAACTTGCCCAGGGTCACACAGCTAGTAAGTATCTGACGTTACATTTGAACTCAGGTCCTCTTGAATCCAGGCCTGGTGCTCTATCCACTGCGCCACCTAGCTGCCCCTTGACTTAAAGTCTTAAAAAGCTTCCCGGGAACACTTGGTGACGGGACTTACCCACAGATGGTATAGGGCAAAAGAAGGATGTGAACCCAGGTCTTCCTGACTGTGAAATTACTGCTCTAGCCACTACACAATGCCATCCCACCCCCCAAGTTCTTTGTTCATGCCCTTCCCTGGGCCTGGAATGTCCTTCCTCCTCCTGGTGAGCTATCAATCAATCAATCAATAAACATTTATCAAGCACCAACTATGCCTGCTACATTCCAGGCACTGTGCTAAGTGCTGGAGATACAAAAAGAGACAAAAGACAGTCCCTGCCCTTGAGAAGCTTACAATCTAATGGGGCAGACAACATGCAAACAAATATGTACAGACAAGCTATTACAGGATAAAGAGGAAATAATTAACAGAGGGAAGGCACTGGAATTAAGAGGGAATGGGGGGAGCTTCCTGTAGGAGATGGGATTATAGTTGGGACTTAAAGGAAGCCAGAAAAGTCAACAGCCAGAGGAGGAGAGGGAGAGCATTCCAGGAGCATGGGGGATGGCCAGAGAAAATGCCCTGAGCCGGGGGATGGACTGTCTTGTTTATGGAACAGCCGTGTGTGTGTGTGTGTGTGTGTGTGTGTGTGTGTGTGTGTGTGTGTGTTCATGTATTCACAGAAGGGCCAATGTCAGTCCTTTAGAACCTATTTCAAATGTTACTTCCCCCATGAAGTTTTAACTAAACTGAAGACCTCACACACTACTTGGATTTCACAACTCAAAATTTTGTTTTATAATATTTATCACTTAATACTGTGTATCATGTAATCTGTGTCTCTATCTTATACCGATGTTTTTCAGTCGTGTCTGACTCTTTGTGACTTCATTTGGGGTTTTCTTGGCAAAGATACTGGAGTGGTTTGCCATTTCTTTCTCCAACTCATTTTACAGTTGAAGAAACTGAGACAAACAGAGCTAAGCGACTTCTCCAGGGTCACACTGCTAGTAAGTGTCTGAGGCTGGATTGGAACTCAGGTCCTTCTGACTCTAGGCCTGGTGCTCTATCCACTTTACCACCTAGCTGCCCCCACTCATAAATTTATCTCAACTTCGTACTTCCTCTAAAGCCTGGCACCACAGGTGCTCAACACACTTGTTTCATTAATAAGGAGAACCAAAAGAATCACTTTAAAAAATTTACAAATGCCATTATATTACCTAACTGAAGTCTCACAAGAGCCCTGGGAGGACAGGATTGCACCTATAATGCTCATTTGAGTTATGGAGAAACCCAAGAGAAGTTCAGAGAAGCATTCAGAGTCATGCAGCCTGTAACAATTCTTCCTGATTCCAGTCCAGTCTGTCCACTTAAGCACACTGGTTCTCTTTAATTTAAAGATGCACTTGTTTTAACAGAGAAAGAAACTGAGTCCACACCCCATTTTCCCCTAGCTCCTTCACCCCTACCTAGCCTCTCCTTTCCAGTCTGTGCAGAAGCTGCTCTGATCCCAGCCCAGGCATCCCACTTCAGCTCCAACATTTTCCCTCTTGGCATTCAGAACTTCCCTAGCCTTAGTGCTCTGAAATACTTTCCCCTTCCCAAGATCTCATCACCAGCCCTCCACCCTGCCTAGAGTTCACCCCAGAGTTCCATGGCCCTTTCCTCTCTATAGACTGGCCCTATTGTCTTTCTGTTCTTCCTTTAGGAATTTCTCCTTATGAAAATCTCATTTTCCCTTCTATCCCCAAACCCTCAATGAAAAGGCTGCTCTTTGCGGCAGTATGGGACAATGGGATAGAAGGCAGGATTGGGCACCCAGAAGTTGGGCCCTCTTTACTGAGTTCTGGGGAAGAGGCAGTGAGCAAAGATGGGCCATCCCTACTCAACACCATTCCTCCAATCTAACTTTGGGGAAGATATCCTTCCCCAGGAACATCAGAACCCAAGTGTGCAGGCTCCTGGTCCCTGCCCCCATCATACTAGGTTTGTCAAGCTAAGTGGCCTGAGTCACACTGTCTAATTTCAAACCTGTCTTGTCAAAAATAACTTCACCCACTTCCTTCCTGTAACGTCTAAATAAAGGCTGTGGGGATTTTGAGAAGTTTGGTCCAGGGAGCTGTCAGGAATGGTGGCTTCTGGGTAGGCTGCTTTCTCCCCCTGCCCAGAGGGTGCCCAAGGATACATTCAGTGATGAGGGCTGGGGCCAGGTCTGTGGTGTCCACATACAAATTTCAGTCCTATGCCACCAGTTCTGCTGTTCCCCTCCCCCTTTCTTCCTATGGCCATCATCCCTCCACCCCCACCCCCACCTCCACTTCTCTTAGGAAGTGAAAGCAGAGAAATCACATAACCCTCACAGTCTGGGGCGCAACATGGGGTTCATCACTGACAAAAGGAGCTTAGACAAAATACATTCCAGTTCTTCCTCACCTCCTGCCCAGCTCTAGCTAGACCTCAAGCTGGATTTCTCGGTAACATCTCAAGACATCCAAATCTCTCATTTTACAATGCAGAATACTGGGGCCCAGTTCAATTCCACAACCACTTATTAAATGCCCACCACGTGCAAAGTACAGAAGATACAAGAACAAAAATAGAAACAAAAAAAAAATTCCTTGCCCTCAAGGATTTTACACTCTACTGGCAGAGACGTGCTGTGATTTGCTTCAGTTAGTAAGCGCCGGAGCTGGAACTACAACCTAGGTACTCCTGATTCTCAGTCTGAGGCTGATTTTTTTTTTGTTCCTATTAACATCTCCCTTTCAGGCCCTAAGCCCAGGGATAGCTGGAGAACCCCACTGTTGCCCAATTTTGGTTCAGCCCAGAACAACATCTGATCAAGAATGAGAACAGTCACCAGGAGGGCTCCTAGGGAAGTCTGTCAACCCACATCTCACACTGAGCCACAGTAAAAAGTGGACTGGATAGAGAGTGGAAGGACCTGGGTTCAAATCCTGGTTCTGTTACTTACTGCCTGGGTGACCTTGGGCAAGTCACTTAACTTTTCTGAGATTCAGTTTCCTTGTCTGTTAAAAATGAACAAGAGGGCTTGACCCAATAGCCTCTAAGCTCCCTTTGAGCTCTAAATCTAAACCTAATGACCTCTGAGGCCCTTTTCAGTCTTCCATCTTACATTCCCAATAGTAAGTAACTAGGGTCAATGATAATTTGGCTCTTGTGGGGAACACTTCTACCTTTTCCCTGCATAGTCCAGATTGGGAAGACCTAGGTTACTGTTAGCAGACAAAGCAAGTCCCAGGGCTTTAACAGAAATTCAGAAAAGGCAGTAGTATAAACCTATAGCCCTTGAAACTTTGGAGAAAAGGATGAAGAGAGCTGGGGTCAGGCAGGAGCCCTCCAAGGGAATGTGCTTCAGAAAAAGGGAGGGTTTCTCTCAGAGAGGATTAGGGTTTAATCAAGAGGATCCCCAAGCTCAGGGTCATAAGATTTAGCACCAGAATGACTCCTAGACATCATCCAGTATGACCTCATCATTTTACAGCTATTACGTCTAAGATCAAGAGTCCGCATGGGGTTGTGGGGTTGTGGTCTCTGAACCTGAATTTGAGTCCTGGCTCTGACCCATACAGGTTGTGTGACCCTAGAGAGGTTACTGACCTCCCCACCTTTATATAGAATCTTTTTTTTTTTTTTTTGGTTATCATTTGTATATGGAAATAGCTGTATTTATTGATGATCTTTAAGTTCACAATGAAATTAAAAAAAAAACATTAAGTCACACAGATCTCAGTGTTCTGGGCAACTCTCTAAGACTATGGATAGCAAGGCAGCTGCTGGCTTGAACTGGTAGAGGGAGTTTCTTTGTCAAGTTCCCTATAGCCAGAAGGCCATAAAACCCCCCAAAAAACCCCAGGACTGGAGTTCTGAATTTGTAGAGTCTGTGGATAGATCTATGAACTTGGATTAGAAAAAACTTCCATATTTGTTTTTCTTAACCTCTAACTGAAGCTTAGCATTTTTTTCGATCATGATTTTTTTCTCCTCCAAATCTTATTCTGAGAAAGGGTCTACAGGCCTCAGCAGACTGCTGAAGGGGTCCATGACACAGGAAAGGGCAAGAACCTCGGCTCTGGGATCAAATACAAACTCCTCTGTTTGGCTTTGACAGCACTTCACAACTGGCTCCAAACTACCCTTCCTACTGTACTAGATAGAACTCCTCTTCACAATTCCACTACTCTACTGTGTGACCCTGGGCAAGTCACTTAACCTCCATTGCCTCACACCAAAAAAAAAAAAAAAATCAATTCCACCACTCCAGAAAAACTGGTTTTCTTGCTGCGCCTCCATTTCCTAACTCTGTGCCATTGCAGTGAAAGTCCCCCACGCCTGGAACATATTCCTAAACCTCTGCCTTGTAGAATCCCTGTTTCCCTCAAAGACCAGCTTAAGCACTTCCTCCTAATCTCCTTTCCTGATCCCTCAAAATTCTTTTGCTTTTCCTCCTGGTCCTCCCCCCTCACCTTATTTTCTCAGTACCTACAGATACGGGGGGTGGGTGGGAAGAGGAAGGGGTACAATTTGAGGAGGCACAGGGCAGTCTCATCACATCTCACCTGCAGTGTACTATGATAGGCCCTGCATGGGGCAGCCTCTCCTGTTGCTGGTTGATCTGGTCCAGGAAGCTGAGGACGCCTCCGGGTTCACTGGGCACCCCATGGTCAGGCCAGCTCAGGTACTGGTAGTGCCAAATCTTCCTCACCAAGTCTCCCTGGGGCAGGGCATCGGAGTATTGGCACCCACTCCACTTGCTCTCACCATCCACAACGATGCCACGATTTTTTTCCTCCCCTCTCCCTCTTGGTAAGGACCCCCAGGGGTTGGGCAAGTCCCCCTCCCCGACTATGCAGACAGAGAGACCCTGTGCTGAGGTAACTTACATTGTCCAGTGGGGAGACCTGCAGGCTCCGGACCTTATACTCAGGGGTGTCGTGTTCCTTGCAATTGAAAACAGAGTATAGGCCGTATGACCGTTGCGTCCCAACTTCAGGCCAGTAAGGGACACACTTGTTCTGGGAGGGGAGAGAGGAAAAAATGGCAGTGAAATAAAACAGAGAAGAAATAAGAGAAGGGAGAAGAGATGGATGGAGAAGGATTCAATAGAACTAACTAAACTTTTATCTATTACTACTACATGAAAGGCCGTGGAGCAGCCTGGTGCCATGTAAGGAGTGATATCCTGAAGTCAAGCTCAAGACGAAAGTTGAGATTGTATTATTTTCAAGGTCTCTTTCAGGTCTAAATATTTTATGATTCTAGGTGCTGTGGAAAATACAAAAAATGGCACAGTCCTTCTCCTCAAGAGTATTATGGTCTACTAAGAGGAGACTGGAAGATTGTGAAACTATTTTGCTTCCTATTAATCAGACCTGGGATGTCGCTGTCTCACTGTTGCAAGATCACCCGGGTAAGATCAACTATAGGGGCAGACGTATTGTGAGGAAGTAAGGAGGAGTGAAAGGGAGTTAAGCTCCCACCCTAACTGGCATAAACCATCCCATTTCAGACACAAGAGACCCAACTTCTCACCCTGATTCTTCTACTAATGAACTTGGGCATCAATGGGCTTCAATATCTTCATCTGTAAAATGAGAGCGCTAGACTAGGTCAGTGTTTCCCAAACCAGACCAAATCAAATTATATTTGGGATCTGTATGCTTCCTAAATTCTCCACCCTGATGGAGCAGGGAAAGAAGTACCAGGCAGAAGAGATACCCTGGAAAGGCCACTGACCAGCAGTTCTATTGCAATATAAAAGACAGTATTAAGGAACAGATTCAGATGAAGCATTTAGCTAGCAAAATGATTCCTAAGGCTAGATTCTTATGCTTACTTTGACTCTTGCTCCAAAGGGCATTTCTACATTTTACGTCTTCTAGGAACCAGTTACATAGTTATATTTTGGTAATAAAGGGTAATAAAAATGCATAAAGGCTTTATCTCTCAAATAATAACCAATCTGTTCTCCACAACACTGCATTTCTCAGGAGTTCGGATATTAGATACAGGAGCAAGGGGGTAGATTTGCAGACAAGCATGGCAGAAGAGAATACAGTGAAAAAGAAGGAGGAAAAAAAAGAGAAAAATGAGAGGTCCATTTTTTTAAGTCAATAGGTTTTATGAAATCAGGATTTGGGGTAGTAAAAGTTTTACAGACCCATAAAAACTTAATTTGGAGTAGCTGCTTAATTTCAGCTGGCAACTACCTGGTTTTAGATAATTTTTTATGATGCCTTCTAGGTCTGAGGTCTCTCATTTTAGACACCAGTTGGGAAGTAGTCAGACCTAAGGTTGAGAGGAGAGGTGAGATTGAGAGGAGAGAAGAGGTCAGGGAGTGAGAGAAGAGAGCTGAGAAGAAGGGAGAAGAGGGAAGGAGTATAAGAAGGGAAGCGGACCATTTCGGACCAAATGGAACGTGCCATACCCGACCCTTCTCCACCTCCCGGGTAGTCATGACAATAACTTGGGAGTTTTCCTGCCACACCATCTGCCAGAAGTCATTAACTGTGGCATCCAAACAGCCTTGGCTGGCGATGTAGATCTTGGCATTTTCATCCGCACTCACCAGCTGGTTCTGAGATCAAGGACAGACAAACTGATTAGTCCATTAGATTGGGGACTGCCTTTTGCCTCTCTTTGTATCCCCAGCCCGTAGCACGGTGCCTTGCATCTAGTAAGTGCTTTATAAATGCTTATGGACTGACACATCTCCAGAGACATAGAATCCCATCACTCTAGCCTCACTCACCCCATCCCCAAACCCATGAATCTGACCACCATGGCCACATCTTCATCAGCATTTTTGTTTGTCCCAGTCTCAAATCTGTGTCATGTCTGTATATGCTGTCTCTCCTCCATCAATCCATGAGTACCCTGATGATAAAGATCCATACCTCATACCTCCTCCTCCTCCCTCTATATCCCCAGACTTCATCTAGACCAGGAGCTACCACTGACCTTGACATAATTGGCGTTGATGTAATCAGACCCTGGGATGTTGCTGTCTCGACCTTGCAGGATTACCCTGGTGTGATCAACTATAGGAGAAGACATATTGTGAGGAAGTGAGATGTGAAAAGGAGTTAATTGGATCATAGGAATTGGGCTATAAGTATCGGGTAGCCCTAAATCCCCCTCTCTACTTCCCCACTCAGATTTTATCTAGTCAGTGGCAGAAAAAAGAAGCAAGGGCCCCACAGAGGAGACTTGGAGACCTAGGAGAGGGGCCTTGAGACCCAGTGGGAGAAGGAAGAAGTATAGGCCTAATGGGGAATGAATGGTAGGGCTGGAGGCTTGAAGGGTGAAGAGAGAGCTAAAGGTTCCACGGGAGAGGTGGGCTCTCACAAGGGAGAATGTTCTTGTATCGGTTCTTGCTCTTATTCTCAGGTCTCTGCCCCTCATGCCGATCATACAAATTTTTAACCTCCTGCTTCTGAAGACCCTAGAAGATGAAGAGAGAAAGGGCTTTAGTCAGTGGGGCAGAAGGAAGGGCGGGACAAGGAAACTGGGCCAGAAAGACAGACATTGAGACAATCCAAACTATAGAGAAATGAAGAGAGAAACACAACGAGAAAAAGGAAAAAAGAAAGACAAAAGACAGACAACCCCTGAATGGGGGTCTAAGCCAAGAGCCTGAGACAACAAAAGCCTGCATGAAGACACTAAGTTTAATGGACTAGCTGCCTAGGACATGGTATGAATGAATGACTAGATAAAAGAATAAATATTTAAATCCCTACTATATGCCAGAAAAGAGGCACTGCAATGTTGTGACAAAGATCTGGCCTTTGAGTCTGGAAGACCTGGATTCAGGTCCTACCTCAGATACATACCAGCTAGGTGACCCAGAGAAATCACTTGAGTGCTCAGTGCTCAGGCTAAAGACTATAAATTTCCAATTGCTAGCTGATCAATATTTTTTGTTGTTCTTCAGCCATTTTTCAATCATGTCCAGCTCTTTATGACCTCATTTGGGGTTTTCTTGGCAAAGATACTGGAGTGGTTTGCCAGTTCATTTTGCAGATAAGGAAAATGAGGCAAAGTTAAGTGACTTGCCCTGGGTCACATAACTGGTAAGTGTCTGAGGCTAAATATGAACTCCAGGCCTATCACTCTATCCACTGCACTACCTAGATCAATATTAGATGAGGGAATTCCTCACCAGAAATTCCTTACACAGTAAAATCACAGGTAAGGTCAAAAAGCATAAGATAGGGACAGGGGCAAGGTGGGACATGGGGGAAGATGGTCTTTAAACTATAAACATGTCAAAAGAATCCTCCTAAAGCCCAGATCTAACTCTATCAGTAACTGCTCAAAAAACACTCAATGGCTCCCCATTGCCCTTAGGCATTTGAGCTTTTCCCCAATCTGCTACCTTTCCTACCTTATTTCATGCTACACCCTTCATGGGATCTAAATTCCAGGTGAAAGAGACTATGTGTTACTTCCCAAACACACCCTATCTTCCTTTTAGGCTGAGCTCTCAGCCTCAATCCTTCCAATTTTAATGCTTTCTCCCATTTCAATTATGTTTAATAGAATGTAAGCTCCTTCAGGGGATTGTGTTAGGTGTTTGGGTGTTTTGTTTTGTTTTGTCTTTTAAAAGGGCCTAAAGATCAAGTGACCACCATGTGCTGATGTGGCTGGTGCTGTGCTGGGCCTAGGGATACAAAGAAGAAAGGGGACTTGTCCCTGCCCTAGAGGAGCTTACCATCAAGCTGGGGAAGAAAAGACATAAATCTTTTTATAGGTAGATATAAAAAATATATTTTATAGGTAGATAAAAATAAGCATGAGGAGACGAAGATACTAGGAGCTCAAGATGGGGTTCAGAAATCAGGAAAGGCTTCATTGATAACTTTGGGTAACTTAATCTTCTCTTGGTTTCAGTTTCCTCATCTGTAAAGTGATGGGGTTGAACTAGTTGGCCTTGGAGGTCCCATCCATGATGCTACATTGTGTGTAGAAGGTGACCCTTGATCTGAGCCTTGAAGGAAACTGAGGTTCTAAGACATGGAAGGTCTTCCACACTCAAAGGCCAGATGTTTGTCACAACATCACAATGCCTCTTCTCTGGCATACAGTAGGGACTTAAATATTTATTCTTTTATCTACTCATACTGGCATAGAAGCCAGTATGAAGGGATGCAGGCAGGTGATGGTATATGGTGTGTATGAAGGTCACCAAATGGGCCAGTGTGGCTGAACTGTAAGGTGAATGAAGGGGAGCTGACGGGTGCTCTGGTAAACATTTAACAACTGGCCCTCTGGGGGAAGAAAAAAAACTTGTATACACTACACATATTTATGTCTAATCCGCAGTACAAACATTTTCTCCGTTGCCTTTTTTTTTAAGACTAAACAATCAACAAAGCAATAAAGCAAGCCTTGATTTGTAGCAATACTCATGCTGAAAATTTAACAATCAGCTCTCGGAACCAGTGGTAGGAGCTGGCTCCAGGACACCCCTGGGAGTAATGTACAACAAAGATGGAAAGGTAGGTTAAAGTCAGGCTGTGAAGGGCTTCAAATGCCAAACCAAGGAGTTAATTTTGTTCCTACAAGTATCAGAATTTATGAAGTGGGAAAATGACTTTATCACACCTGTGCTTTAGGAAAACCACTTTGGCAGCTGTGTGGAGGATGGATTGGAGCAGGGAAACCAATTAGGAGACTATTGAAATAGTCTAGGTGAAGGGTGATTAAGACCTGAACCAGGTGTCACAGTGACTGGATAGCTGGATTTGGAATCAAGAAGACCTAAGACTAAGACACTAGCTATGTGACCCTGGACAAAGGTCAGTCTGAGTTTCCTTATCTATCTATCTAAAGCGGATCATAATGGTACATACCTCACAGGGTTGTTTTTGAGCACCAAATGAGTTAATATATGAAAAGTACTTTGCAAACCTTAAAATGCTTTGTAAATGTTAGCTACTGTTATTAAGTAGGGTGGTGGTTATGTGAGTTAGATAGAAGAAAAAGATGCAAGAAATATGGAGGTACTTCTGGTTCTAATTCTTCTTTACGACATGACTAATGTGAAAATATATTTAATAGGAATGCATGTGTATAGCCTATATCAGATTGCATGCCATCTAAGGAAGGGGGGAGAAAATTTAAAACTCAAAAACTTATGGAAGTGAAAGTTGAAAACTAAAATAAATTAATAAAAAAAATTTTAAAAAAGGAAGAAATGTGGAGGTAGAAACAATTGATTGTATATGTGAAATGAAGAAGAGAGCAAGTCATCTTCTCTCACCTTTCCAATCTTCTTACACATTACACCCCACGGTCCCTCCTCCAGGTACTCTACGTCCTGGTTTCTCTAGTTTCATTCAAATCCTAGTTGCCATACCACCTTCTAGAAAACCTTTCCTGATCTCCCTTAATTCTAGTCCCTTCCCTTTGTCATATTTTCAATTTATTCTGAATCTATTGCTTATTTATAAATATCTGTTGGCCTGTCATCTCCCCCATTAGATTGTGAGCTCCTGGGGGCAGGGGTTAGTTTTTTTTTGTCTTTCTTTGTATGGTCAATGCTTAGCAGAGTGCCTGGTACATAATAGGTGCTTAATAAATTTTTACTGACTATTGACTATTGGTGACACTGCAGTTACAAACCTGGGTGACTGGAAGAATGGAGGTGCCCTCAACAGTAACAGGAAAATTTGGAAGATGGGAGTGTTTGGGGGAAAAGCTAAAGAATTCTATTTTGGACATATGAGTTTCAGATGCCACCATGACATCCACTTTAACATGTCTAATAGGCAGTTGGTAACATAGGACTGGAGCTAAGGCGAAAGTCTACGGCTAGTTATATAGATCTAGGAGTCATCAGCACAGAGATGATCATTAAATTCATGTGAGTTGGTGAGGTCACTGAGAGAAAGTATAGAGAAAGAAAAGAAGAAGGCTCGAGACAGAGCCTTGGGAATACCCACAGTAAAAAGGCATGATATGCAAACAAGAAGTACTTAATGAATTTTGTCGAATTTTGCAATGAACACTCCACAGACAGTGACTCACAGGGCACAGAATTTTCCAGCCTTGTCTAGGGCACAACAATGCCTTGGTGCTACTCTGTTGACCCACCCTTTCTGGGATACTCACCTCAAACTCCTCCCAGAATCCAGCTTTGGATGTTTCCTCTGACTGCTGTTTCTTGTTCAATTCCAAGACCCGGTTTTCTATGTCAGCTGCATTCACTCTTGTGGCATAATATGGCTGGGGAGATGTCAGGAGATAATTGGAGAGAGGGAAGGAGAATGAGTATGAGTCAGGGAATTCAGAGGCATGAGGCAAGAATGGGAGGGGGGGAAGGAACAGACCCAGGGGAGAGCCCTCTGCTCACCTGTCGCAGGTAGACAAAGGCACCTGAGGCCTCCTCAATTCCTGTTTTCTTGAAATGTTCCACCAGGTCAGTGAGGCTGTCAAAGGTCTCAGAGCCACCCACAGTGTAACGGCTAGCCTGAGACACCAAAGTGAGAGGTGTGACAATGGGAAGTGAGAGGAAAAGAGAGAGAAGTCCCAAGATCTCTCCAAGCTCAGCCTAAACAAGGGCAAGCCTTCTCCTTGATCTCCTCCTCTTCACCTGACCCCCAGTACTAATCCTGAAACTCTAACCCCCCACCACCCCATTTCCCCTTTAACCAGGGTGGCAACACCCTGGGGGTAAGATGCAGCATTTTCCTGCTGGTTTTTCGAGACATCACCCTTCGTACTCTTTCTAGATGAGAGGGTGGTGATCTCTGACTGACCACCTGGCACCCCGGGGCTGGACCTCTTGTGCTGTGTGGCAGCTGTCCCCAACCATCCTCCTTTTTCACAGCTCCCAACCCTTATCCCCTACTTGCCACTCACTGTGTTCATCTCACCTCACACATCACTTTGATATGAGTGACCCTGAGTGGGGAGCCCAGTCCAGCCTTGGGCTGGTCACTGAGTACAGACAGCACAAAATGACCAGGTTGGCTCAGGCTCTCACGGACCAGAAACGTCCAGGGTTCACCCTTGGCCTGAAGCAGCGTCTCAGCCTGGGCCCCAGACATGTGGCCGTGGTACCACCTGATGGGACAGAATAAGCGAGGGCGGCAGAGAGTTGGGGGGAGAAATGAGATCAGAAAAGGGGGAAACAGACCCAGAGAAAGGAAAAGCGTTAAGAAGACAGAGACTGGGCAAGACTAAGAGAGACAAAGGAGAAACTCAGAGACAGACGAAACATCAGATCTGGAAACAGAGACGAGGACCCTCAGGCTGAGATAGGAAGATGATGGGAAGCAGGGTAACATGAGGTGAAGAAAGATGGAGCAGTGAAGCTGTAGGCAGAAATAGTAGATTCAACAACTTAACAAATGTTTATTATTAAGCATTTTCTGTATGCCAAACTCATAGTAATCTCTGTCAAATAAACAAAGATTAGGAAAGACAGGAAGTCACATGAGGAAGAAAGTCCTGGGAGATAGCCCCGGGGGACAGCCGAGAACTGAGGGGATAATGTGGAGGACCCCAAGATCCCATCACAGTGGAGAGAGGGAGAGATTGGGTGCTTCAGGGTGGAGAGGTCAGGACAGAAAGCAGAACTGGAACCTTTCCCCAACATCTCCTCAACTCCACCCCCCCCACCAACCTGTTCCCTAGAGGAAACAGTTAACCCCAGGGCTGCCCAGCCCCACAGGAAAACACGTGATGGAAAAAGCAAAAAGCTCCCTCTGGGGAGAGAGTGAGAAGTGAGGTTTCTTCAGCCTGGGGGTTGGGGGGGGGTAGAGATTTTCCAACCGCAGGGATGATGAGGTAGGAGGGGGAGGGTAGGACAGACAGTCTTCAGAAAAAGAACTTAATCTTTTCAATGCTCATATAGAGGCCAAGGCTTCAGTGACCACTGACCTAAGGACCCAAAGGTTTTTTCTCCAGTCCCCAACCCCCAACCCTACTACCAAGCCAAGAGGACTCTACTCCAGAAGTAGGCCTGGTCCCTCACACTGAAAAGGAAGGGGCTCTAAAGTCTGGTCCCCCACCTCCAGCCACAGGATGAGGAAGTGTACATGCAAATACTGACTTGCCCACAGGCTGGCAATCAAGTACAGAGGGAACAGATGCAAATTCCCAAGGGAAACCACTTTGAAGAGAAAGGAAAGGGAAGGGAACAGAAGAATGGCAAGGAAGGTTGTTGGGGTGAACTCCTTTTTCCACCCAGAGAGTACTGAGTACTCCTTGGGACAACTCAGACTTCCAGGCTAGGGGAAGGCGGAGGGGGTGACTAACCACTCACAGTCATCTCTTTGAAGGTTTCCCTCAGGCACTGGAGTGCCTTCACTATCCCCCATCCTTGGCTCTGCCTTGGCTTCTTTTAATTTCTTTTCTTGTACCCCTTGACCACAGTCCATCTGCCAGGGTCATTCCCATGGCTGACTCAAACTTTTCTTTGTAGAGTCCCTCCATAGCACCCACTGCTTCTGGCATTTATGATGCCCTCAACCTCCGTGTCCTGTGTAGATCCTAGATTGGGATGGGAAGAAGGACTGAAGCAACATGGTGGGTGTGCAAAAAAATGTTGAAGCAGCAGAGAAGGGGCACCATGGAATTACCAAGGAAGGAGGAGAAAGTTGAGGTTGGGCACTAAGTCTGAAGCTTCCTAAAAAGTAGTGAATAATAGCTACATGCGTTCTCTAGGACTCTGTTCTTAGCCCTATCCTGGTCAATATTTTTAAATCAGTGACTTGGAATAATGTCGTAGAAAACCTACTGAGCTAGTTGACAGATTATGTATAACTGACAAGAATAGCTAGTACGATAATAGAGACAGGATTCAGCATGTGCTGAGCAACGAGGTGTACAAGAAAAGGATAGGCCAACATGGCTTAGCAGAAGTTAATGTGAAAAGACCTTGCTATTTCAGTTGATTGCAAGCTTAATTTCAGAATCATGAAATCTTAGATTTGGAAAGGACATGAGAGGTTTTCTAGTCCAACCAATATTTAAATACAAATGCATTCTACAACATAACCAACAAATGGGCATCTAGCCTTCCTCAAAGACCTCCAGTGACCAAGAACACTGTGATACAGCTGTTTTTAAAAAATCTAATGCAAAATGAACAAAAGTACAGTGTCCAGACTGAAAGAGGAGATAGTTTCTTTTTGCTCTGGTCAGGCCAAATCTGGTACACGGCGCTCAATTCTAGGCGCTATGTTTTAAGAAGGGCACTGACAAATATGGTCTGCAAACCATGTCAGATGAGGAAAGATGAACATAACTATGGACAGTGGATAGAGCACCGGCTCTGGAGTCTGGAGGACCTGAGTTCAAATCAGGCCTCAGACACATAATACTTCCTAGCTGTGTGA